ACTCAAAAAGCCCTAAACCCTAAAACCCTCCTTCATGTTTGTGAAAGAAGGAAACCCAATTCAAACAAGAAACCCCAAACCCAATACCCTAACTCCCTCTTTATAGCCCTATAAACCCTAAACCCTTAACCCCCAAACCCCAAAGCCTTACACCCTAAACCCTAAACCCCCAAAGGCCCGACCCCTAAACCCTAAACCCCAAAACCTTAAGCCCTAAACCCTCAAAGGCCTAAACCCCTAAAACCTAAACCCCCCCAAACCCAAAGCCCTAAACCCTAAACCCTATAAACCCTAAACCCCCCAAAAAGGGCGCTCTTCGTCTCCTCGCGGTTCGGCGCCTCCTCGCGGGCCTTGGCGGTCTGGGCGACCTCGGCGGCCTGCGGAGCCGAAACCAAGGGTTTAGGGTTTGGGTTTCCTTAGTGATTTAGGGTTTAGGGTTCCTTAAAGTTTAGGGTTTGGGGTTTGGGGTCAAGGGTTTGGGGTTTGGGGTTTAGGGCTTTTGGGGGTTTGGGGTTTAGGGTTTGGGGTTTGAGGTTTAGGGTTTGGGGTTTGGGTTTAAGGTTTAAGGCTTAGAGTTTCATCCAGAGTTTGGGGTTGAGGTTTAGGGTTTAGGGTTTGGGGTCCAGGAATCATGGTATGTGAGTTCAGGCTTTGCGGTCCAGAACAGAACCCCCAAAGTGTAAAGCCCTTGCGTACGACGCAGGCGATCGGACACAACAACCATATACATATACATGGTACCCCCAGATTATGCCAAAAAACCCAAACCGACACGCACAGGGAACCACAGGGGGAGGGGGGGAATACCATGGGTGGGAGGGTGGTGGGCCTCTCAGCGCTGCACCATTTGTGAAACCCCACCCCGGTGAGGCCGGGCCTTGGCGACGGGAACCACGGTGGGGGCCTGGGCTGGCGGAGTGGCCTTCGGCGCGGACATCCTCGGAGAAAGGTAGGGTTTAGGGGTTCAGGCTTTTGGGGTTTAGGGTTTGGGGTTTGTAAGCTTTAAGGTTTAGGGTTGAAGGTTCTACCAAGCTGGTCTTCAGCGGTTTCGCTCAGGGTTCTAGAACATGTTCTGCGGAATCTCCTCGGAGCCACTATTAACGGGAACTGAATAAAAATAAATAGAATGGAACAGGGATATAATATAATACAACACAATATTGTAGTACATTACGTTATATTATATTACAGAATAAGAACATAATATACTATAATACAAAGTGCGTTTCTTATTCTCACTCTCCTTGCTGCTATGTCTCACTACCCCTGAACGGCTCTGGGCCCCGGAGCCGAAACGGAATGGTTGGCATAGGTGGGTTGGCCGGGTCTATTTGTAGAACCCTTGCAAGAACACCTGTAGAACCCTTAGAGCCCTTAAAGCAACCCTTCTAGTACCTTTGTAGTAGTGAAGCTACATAGAGCCCTTATAGAACCCTTAACCCTAAATCCGAAACCAAGTTTTCGCTCCCAGCTTAGACAAAGTGTTGACAGTCCCCGCAGGGTGGACTACAGCGACAAAGCCTGGCTCTCAGCCGCGGGCGCTGTCTTGGTGCAGAGAGTTGCGCAACGAAAACGGAACGAGCCCCTTGTGCTTGGAAAATAGCTGCAGCGGGCAGGGCGGGGCTTCGGCCTCGATGGGTTCAGGGTTTAGGGTTTAGGATTTAGGGTACTATTACGGCTTTTATTGCTACTAGTATTGCTACTAGTATTGCTACCATTGTTATTACTACAATCCCTTTTGGAAGGGGTGCCCCGTGCAACGAAAACGTCTTCGTCTGCTTTCGCGGCAGCCTGCAATGCTCAGAACGGAAAACCCCTAAGTTACATTGAGCTCCCGAATGTCAACATTGTATTCCATGCTTTAGGGTACAGGTTGCCCTCCCAAAGGCATGGTAATCATACATAATTATGATAATAATAAGAGTACTAACAACAATAACAATACATCTAGCAACAATCGCAATAGTAGTAACAACAACAGCGACGAAATACGAACCATCGCAATAACACGATGCAAGGTGCTTTTGCAGTCCGTCGGCACGTGTCAGAGCTTTTGCACCCCGCCCCCCCCCCGAGAAGCTCTTGCTCCGCTCGGAGTCGCAGAGACCTGCCCGCGGACTTCGATGCACAGGTTTCTCATGAATGTCTCATTTTTTTTGTTGATTGGGTTTGGGCGTTCGGGCTATGGGCTTGAGACTTCTGTCCTTAGGGCTTGGGCCTTGCAGGACTCGGAGTGCAGGGATGCATTGGTTTCCGGATGCTTCGGTTTGGGGTCTGCGGTTTGGGATTACCAAGAGGTTGTGGTTGTTAGGTCACCAAGGGTTTGTACCATTTGTCAAAGTTGCGTGCATGTCTCCGCATTGGCACGGTCTCCCCTCCGTTTCGGCTGAATCACCCCGGTTCTGGCTGTGGCTGTAAAGCATCACACTCAGAAGGCAACCCGAGAGGCAACAGCATTTGTCACGACGCCTTGAGCGGAAACTAAGTCACGACAGCATTCCCGACTGTCGCTGTGCTCTGTCTGAGTCGCACCTCCCTTGGGGAGGTATACGAAAGAAGGGCCACAAAACGAAGAACAGATGTAGTTTACAATGCCAGCTTGCACCGGCGGCCCACAACCTCCGGACTCCATCCGGCGAGCTCTGCCAGCTTCCCCGCAGTGACCACCTTCATGTTGCGCTCCTTCAGCTGCTTGAGGAGCGTCTGAAGGCCCAGCAGACACCACTCGCGGAAGCCATGCTCTGGCATGTGGATCAACATGATGGAGCCATGTTCGGCCTGCTTTCCAAGGAAGCGGCCGATGAAATCGCCATCCTGAATTACCGGGCAACATGCATAGGTGTCGCACATCAGAATTCTCAAAGCCTTCTGCTCCACGATCTTGGCCATAACGGTACTCAACCGCCCATGAGGAGGCCGGAACTAAGGGAACGCCGAAGAAACACCAGCACGACGCTGCAAGTCGGTGATCCGCTTGGTGCACTCCTCCACGGCATCCTCAAACTCTTTGGGAGATGAGGCCCCGTAGCTCTTGTCCACGAGGCCATGGTTCCCCAGCTCGTGCCCCTCGCGCAGAAGCGCGAGCAGCTCCTCTTCATACTGCGGAACGAACTGCCCAAGGAGCAGGAAGGTGGCCTGTGCCTGGTGCTCTTTGAGAAGCTTTCGGATCTCAGGCAGCATGGAGTTCTTGGGGCCCAGCCGACATGGAGCATCATCGATGGTCAGCGCCACGTAGCCCCGGACCCCGGGATGCTTCTCGACGTCGAAGTAGCAGAGGGAATCCGCCGAAACACGAGAGCCGAACCAGCTGATGGAGCTCCTTGAGGCACAGGAATATACCTTAAATTATAGGGGCCTTAATATGATGATGCAAGGTATATTTTCCTGAATTAAGGGGTGTTGGGCTCTCTGGGGAGCTCCTCGAGGCAACTCTGTCCCAGATGAGCTGCAATGCCTGGGAAGTACCTGGCAACCGATCGGCCGGGATGAAAGCAACATCTCCCTTGTCCAGGGCAGGAAGCGGGGACTCCACATCGCCAAAGCCCCGTCTTGCGGACAGAAGCAGCGCTGCCACACCGACGCCTTTCGGATCTAAAATGCCACTTGAGCACCGCAGCACGTCGCCTTCCGGGTTGATCAGCACTTTGGACCACCAGAGCTCCTGGTAGCGACCCTCTGCCTCCTCCCGGGTCTGAAACTCTTCCCAGTAAACCTTCGAGGTGCGGTAACCGAGCTTCCAAGTATGCAGCTGCAAAGACCGGAGCGTGGGCTTCGCCATGCACACGCGAAGGATGCTGGAGCCGCAGCTGCGATCCCCCATGGCTCTCAGAAGAGGAGCCGGAACAAACTCGGATGTCCAATCTTTCTACTAATGCTGCGTTGATTGTTAATAGGGGCTGCTACGACTAATTACCCATGTTGCTGTAAATGCTCCTGTTTCCAACCCTGCGAATTATCAGTCTATGCCGCAGCCATATTAAGAAGGATGGACTGAGAATAGCTTGACTCGTGGTCAAAGCCCACTTGAAGCCGGTCATTAGAGGACGTACAAGCAGGCAGAACTTGCTATGAAAATGCAGAGGAAGTTCAATCTGACTCATCGTCGTCAGGTTGCCATGGTCATCGTCAATGTAAACAGGATGCTTAAGCTCTTCATCATCATCATCATCACCACCACCACCACCACATATGTAGCTTCATCAGCTTCACATTGACATGCATCGTCAGCATCATCGTCTACACCGTCATGATCAAGAACTGCCCATATTTTTGTGACCGCCATCGTCATGACTCCCATCATCATGACCGCCATTATCATGACCTTTATCATTACCATTGCTGTCATCACCACTGTCGTCATCATCATAAGACTCAACTAACTAAAACATTGTCCCTGTCGTCTTCACTGTCATGGCAGCCTGCATCATGGCTACGATCAGTTTCATGAACATTGGCAGCATCCACCGTGGAGACTGCTGACGAACAAAGACCACGGTTACCGGTGGGACAGTAAGAGCCAGAAATGTGACAAGCCACAGCAGTGACGACCAACAGGCAGTAAACGAAGAGACCGTGTATGCCCAACACTCAGGGAGGCCGCCTGCACACAATCATAGCATTGCTAAACGCCCCTGAACCCTAAACCCTAAACCCAAACCCCCAACCCCGAAACCCTAAACCCTAAACCCAAACCCCTGAACCCTGAACCCATGAATAATCATTCACACAGCCAGGGGAAGGCTGAGTCTGAGTTGCGCCTGAGAAGCCACTTTCCTCTCAGCGCCCCCAACCCTAGACCCGAAACCTGCATGTAGGCCGGAAACCTAACACGAGGACAGGAATGTCCCCACGCTCCGACCTCCTGGGCAGGTCTTTGTGGGCAGCCGCCGCGCCTATAGAAGAGCATATTAGGATTTGGCGGTCCAGGGTTTCGGGTTTACGGACGTACACTCCTTCCATGTCCGGAGTCTCGGGTTCACGATTGAAGGTTTTGGCTGCGGATTCTCGAGCATTCAGGGCTTCTCCTCTGCGCACTGTGTTTCGAGGCTGAGGATGTAAGGAGCGAGGTAGTACGTGGTTGTCTACATTCTGCACCGGTCGTATTGAGAAGCTCTGCTAAAACTAAAACTTCATCGAAATTTCGCCTCGCCTCACACATGGATCTATCATTTGCTTGCTCAGACGCATCTGCCCTGGCTCCCCCGCTTTCTGCCGCAGCGCTCTGTTTCTCTACTCTACGAGGAGGATGCGGTACTAATAAAGCCTATACTTCGAAGCACGCCAAAACTCAGGCCGGGGTCCCCCCTGACCACTTTGGGCGCTTCCACTGACCCACTTTGTGAGGTCCTATAAGTCAGCTGTGCTGGTCTAATTACTGGACCCGGCCCGGTGACCCGCTCATATTTCCGAGCGACGTGTCGCCTGCTAAGTCCTTCTGATGCCTGTCAGCTCTTTTGCCAAAAGGTACTACTCGCTTCAAAAGAAAGCTCAAAAATGCCACATGAAGTAGCAAGGTCTCCAGGAATTACTAGTCTCCTCATCATAAAAACCAACTTATACAGAGCTCTCTTCGTAGTCCACTCGCTACGCACAGGACCAACTCTGACTCGTTCAACTTCTTCATGTGTATCAGCAGGAAACTGGTGCGCCAGTTTAGAGTTCAAGAATTGAAAGTTTGGGGTTGGTTGATAGCTGTCTGCCATCTTCGTCGTCTCCATTTGCAGTCACTAGGGCCATTGGCTTACAACAGGTGATATGAAGTGTAGCTGCACTGAACGCTGCAACTCGTGTCTTACTCGGCGTCGGTTCGTGTGGTTAGAAATGCTTGGCAGCAGTCCCGCCAAGGCATGTTCCCACACTGTCACACTACTTGGAGGATTGCCCGACGTGAGGAGGAGCGATGGCGAAACAAACCGTAACCCCCTGGCAAGGTAGATTACACGTCTAACCAATTTCAGGCATGTATACACAGTACCACTGAGTATGAAATCTTCCAAAAAGAAGCTCCTGTGCAACTCTGTTTCTCCTGAGCAACTTAAGCATGTCTTTTGTCGGGAGTACCCGGTGCAGCCGGTGTATGCACATGAAGGAAATAGCATGCTTCGTCCTGCTGTCGATTCCTGTCTGCGGAGATAGTTGGCTTACACTAGTTTTTGAAGAGCGACTGGCCACAGAACTCCTACATGGCATCGGCACGTAAATCCTGCAGAGCTCACTCAGAGCTACAGGAGGAGCCTGTTCGATGCCCAAGAGCCTCCGACGCCTTGTGCTCACTTCAGGAGTGGCTCCCCAGCAGACGCACTGCGTATTCCGAAGGCACGGCGCAGGAAGTCCTGAAGGCTTCGGGGGCACCAAGGAAGTTAAACAAACTGTCAACTTAATGAGCATGCATGCGCGCATGCATACATACCTACATAGACTCATGTACTCATTCACGCATGCATTCATAGATATACAAAGACTTAAAGTAGCATGACATAGCAGAACACAACGCAACATGTGGCCTGGCCTCGCCTAGCCTAGCCTGGCCTAGCCTAACATAACATAGCATGTCATAGCATAACAGAACATAGCATGACATGACATGGCACACGTATGCATACATGTACAGACGTATGCATACATATGTTACATATGCATGCATACATGACCCATACCTGCATGTATCTACATACTCTGCATATACAAATATGTCACCACAAAGCACGCTAATCATTAGCCTGAACTTTTCTTGTGGCCTGAACCCTGTACCGCACCCGAGCCGTAGATAAACCCAGAACCGTCCTTCCACACGAACCACAGCACCATGAGCATCGCGAAAGCGAAGATCGCGTCACCCAAACCTCGGAGGCTACACGACAGGGCTCAGGCGTTGGGGTGTTAGGTCTTTGTGGGATTAGGGTCCCAGGGTGGATCAGGCTTTAAACTCTAGAGTGTAGGGGTTTGGGGCAAGTGCTTACAGCTTGTTGTTTTGGAAACCAAAGGTCTTCGCGCCAGCTTCATCCACTGAACGGTCGAATCTCCATGAAAGTTCTCGCTGCGGGCATACCAGTAATCCTCTGGGGTTTAAGGAATAGGGTTTCAGGGTTCAGGGTCTAGGGGGTTTCGGGTTTAGACATTTAGAGTTAAGGCCATATGGTGTTTTAGGGCTTAAGCCACTGGCTTAAAGTTTTTCTTAAAGGGTTCACGCTGCACTTCTGTCGGCTCCAGCGACTCAGGGGTTCAGATTAAGGAGCCTGAAAAATTTGTACGACTAAAACGGTTTGGGTTTATTGTTTAGGGTTTAGGGTTTAGGGGGCGATGTTCATACTCTTCCTTAGGGTTCCTTACTATGCTTCTAGTATAGTAGACGCCAAAAGCCGAAGGCCCCTATATTGGGGGGTTTCGGTCGTTGTTCACGGAGAGCCAGAACTGATAGATGCCAACAGGGAAGATGGACAAGAAGATCTGAAGCATCATGCCCACGTTCATGAACTTCAGGCCCCGATCCAGCCACCTGCAGTCTCTTCGAGCATCAGTATCATTAGAAGCCAAGTGGAAGACTACCAGTATTAGCAACTCTTCAGGCTTCTAGATTAGATCCAGGCTTCTACCGGAAACTTGATGAACCTGAGTGAAGAACCACACCCACCTGGTGTCCCACTGAGCTTTGATGTCCGACAGGCGAAGCACAAGCAAGCTAAGGGCTATTGCCAGAACGCCATAGACGCCCCAGAGCGCACCGTGGCTGTGGGAAAGAGTGAGGTATCCGCCGATCATGTAATACTGTGAGATCGGAGGGTTGATGATGAAGCCCAGGAAGCCCGCACCCACCAAGTTCCAGAAAGCCACATAGATGAAGCAGTCGATGATGGGCTTATACTTCATGAGCCAGGAGCTTTCGGGCCTCTTCGCCGCCTTCTCCAGGGCGATGTACTCACTGGCCTCCATGCCCATGAGCGCCAAAGGGCAGACCTCCAGGCAGGAGAAGCAAGCACCAACGGCCATGATCATGGACGGGGTGCCCGCAAAGTAGTTGTGGTGGTACATGCCGGGGATGCCTCCGAAAAGGAAGGTGCCACTGGTGAAGAGCGTGACACCGGCGGCCGCCGATGGGTCGAGGACACCGAGCATCACAAAGACCTGGGCGACAACCACGGTGATGAAGACCTCGAAGATGCCCTCCACCCACATGTGGACAATCCAAAACCTCCAGTAGTCCATGACTGCTAGGTTGGAGCGGGCGTTGTACATCAAGCCCGAGGCCCAAAAGAAAGAGATGAGCACGGCCGCGCATGTGATGGTGACAACGAGGTGCCACTTGCCTCGGGCATCTTGGGAGGAGAAGCTGGAAACACGCAGAGCCGGATGGATGGCGTTCACCATCAGCAGCAGCCACAAAAGCAAGCCCACCAGAAGGAAGTATTGGTAAAAACGGCCCAGCTCCACGTACTCGTAGCCCTGATGGCCGAACCATTGGCTCATAAGGAGGCTTTCGAAACTCTGTGTAATGGCTGCCACCTGCCCTGCCATGGAGCCCCCAACGATCACGAGCAGGCACAAGAAGAGGAAATTGCAGAGCGGCTTCTGCCTGCATCAAGGCTGAACACCCCCGACAGGCGGACTACATGGTGAACCTAAGTTGCACGTCCTCGCTTGTGGCCCTGTTTCGGTGTAGAGCTGAGAGCGGCCAGTACGACTGCTACTGTGAACGAACTATTGCGAATCCAAGGGCTTCTGATACTGTTCCAACGATGAATACAGGGTATCGGAAGCACTCTAGTAGATAGTCAAGCTAAA